ATGATGTTGCATAATAAAGTTTCCATAGGTCTCTAGAGTCTAGTGTGTTAAATTATACTAGACTATAGTGTTATGTCACACCGGCTAGTATATGTAGAATGATGACTTGCAATATGTCATTATCGATAATATTTTCAAAGCTAACGTTTTGCAATATATATGCAATAAATTTTAATAATATGTCAGAAATACTAATTGGATATATGATAATATAAAATGTGACCAATGTATTAAAATTTCAAGTTTTTGAATATTTATTTTGTGTAGACATATCCATCTTTCAGATCTTAGAACTCATCGCGTAGTGTTTTTTTTATCATACTTAAAAAATTAAGATAGATAATCCATCAACAATGAGGGCAAAATACGCACATAAATCACTTTCACTGGATACCGGCCTTTGACCTGAGCCCATTGGTCTGGGCTTTGATCACGCAATTGCGACTAAAACGTCTCATGCAAACTTGTTTACGATAATAACTCGCCAAAAAAATATTTTCAAATGACCCGTAATAGGTTATAAGTGCACTGTACATTGTTTTCATTGTAATAGTTTCAAATTTGGTTAGGTAGAGAGAGGAGCTTGGACGGTGGATGTGAGCGTTTAACGTGCGTTAGATAAGCGCCCCTTAAACCTACACCTGGGTGGCAAGTCCCAGGGACTGTTGAAATTCTTCTCCCTGTAACACATCCGCACGGTGAAGGTGAAGGCACTTCTATTATGATGTTTTCGATCAGTTTCAGGAACGGTTAAGGTAGCAATTTAATTTCTTCGATAGATTCAGGATGTGATATCATCACAACCCGCTGGCGTTATTTCCAAAAAGCTTCTTGACATGCTGCTTGTCCCATCAACTGTCATATACTCATCACGCAATTTCATAGGTCAAGGATGTTACGAACTTGACATTTTTGTGGTCAATAATTTGATTAGACAGAGCGAAGTCTTTGTGGGCGTATTCATTCACATTCGATATGTGCCTTTCGCAATTCATCTTTTTTTTATATTCCAGATCTGACCAAAAAATCTCACTTCATGCACTTTCCTGGCTTATAGCTTGTGTGGGCGAGACATATGGTCTTCGTGAAGCCTATTGTTACGTTTTACGCCATCGGAGTTCCGCGCGCCACGCGTGCATTACCAAAAAAGGGTCAAAATATGTAAAAATAATACAATAAAACTCAAATAGAAGTTAACAAAATTGGAAATTACTTTTTAATATATTATATTATATGTCGTTATTAAAGTTCATAAATGACTTTTAAAAATAGTATGTCTTGTTGTTATATGATTTGAGGGAAATTTTAAGTAAATTCAATTGTAGGGTTATTGGAAAAAAAATATGGTCTTTGTGAAATTTGAGTTTGTGATCCAAAAATTATCAAATTCTAATGACATCGAAGATTTTCGCGTATTTTAGTTATTCATTTAAATGAAACTAATATTTTTCGTATATACTATGCGACTTAATTTTTGATAAAAACTATACAATCCCGACGTTTCGGCTACTTTTCTGCAACCGTGATCACGGGCAGTCGAGATATATGAGATGTACGAGTTGTAGAGCATGTAGTTTTTATCAAAAATAAATCGCGTGGTATATCCGAAAACTATTAGTTTCATTTAAATTACGACATTCTGTTGGTAATGCCTTTTAAAGGAATCGGATTTTCATTGTTTTATATGATTTGATCATTTAATATATGTACACATGACAAAAGTTTTATATATAAGACGTTTCTAAGATATGTCAATAAAATCATCTGAGTGCAAGCCAGTTTTAATTTCTAATTTCTTTGTACGATTTCTAAATATTGATTATTTGCGTAATAACAAAAAACAGGATTCAATGTTTACGTGCCTGTGTTTACTCATACACATAAAACTGCAGGTTCTTATTTGAACTGCAGTTTCACTCAGAATCGATATATATAATGTAAACGAAGTTTTCTTTTCTGACAAACGGAAATATTCAAACTGCATAGTGTGTTGGCAACCAGTTGTAGGAAGAAATGTACACGAGAATTGAGTACAAGAATTATAAAAAAAAAAAATCTTCTTCTCCTACCTGGCAATTTCCTAGCTTTAGTCAGGGTCTGCTTTACATGTTGTGAATAGTTTTGGCTAATTGTTTTTACGACCGGACGCCTGCCTGACATCAACCCTCTTTGGGATTGTAATAAAAAAATATTCTCGAAAAAGGATCATAGTAATAGTTTTCTGTTATACTAAATGCAACAGTTTTTTTTTAGGAATTGTTTTTTATATTCCGTCAAATACATATATGTAGATAAGTCTTAATATATTAAGAAACATCGCATGTTTGTGATAATTATTTGTACCCAGAAGGAACCTTGCATAATACTTGTTGCAGAAACTGCAAACCAGGCAGGTTGTTATTTGATTCCATTAGTGTTCATAAATTAATAATTGCATTTATTTGTAATGAAAATTGTAAATTTAATATTTTTTTGGACACGTTTTTGCGGTTGAAATTAACAACTAGCCAATTGTGAATTGGATTTTCATATGTGGGTTCCGTAGTGTATAAGAGAAGCAAAATTTTCTTTTTTTTTGTGGTAGAGTCCGTAAATATTTATTTTATTCTATTATATCAAATTAAATACATTATCTTCGACAATTTCAACCGTCTGACTATTACGGTTCATGAAATACTCACTGGTTATATAAAACAAAGAGCGGAGTCTAAGTAAATTCTTAACATCTGTGTATTCTAAGAACATTTTATTAGTGAGCCATGATTTACAATTAAAAAACCTCGAAAATACAAAAATTACAAATAGTAAGAAATAAATATGTATATTACCATTTAAATGCTATTTTGAACTCACTAAACGAATCTTTTTACCTAACCACGCAAAAGGAATACATACTTGGAGACAATATGTATACATAATTAGTTTTCGTTCACAAACTTTTAATAACATAACTCGAAATAGAGTTATAAATCAAATATTAAAAAAGATGAACAGAAATTACTAGAAAGTGATTTGGTGTTTAAATCCATTCAAATCAATAATAACATGACTACGTCGGATCGATTAACATTGATTGGAGAATTTGCATAATAGTGTGTAAATTCTCTGTGCTTTTTTATATCAATAAATATTTTATATAACATTAATGTTTCTTTAGAAAGCCTGTCAATCATTTAAAGATTTTTTTTAAATATATTTAACTGCGCTGAAGTATAAAATGTTTTAAAAAGTAATATCATTTTTATCTTAATTAAATAAATGTCCCATTAATCATTATCTACGAACCTTTATGTTTTTTTAATTTTGCGTGAGTATAACCTATTTCACATAAATTAAATTCATAACAGTCGAACCTAATATCTAGATTATCGGTTAAAAGATGTAATCAAAAAAGTTTTTAACATCTCCTAGATGCATGAATTGTTAACAAGTCAACAAGAATTACGTACCCTTCCTATTCAAACTAGCGTACTGCACTTAAGGCAAATTATTATTCCATACGTAAAACCCTTTCGGCGTCTGTTAAAGACAGGCGTGTTTGCGTAATATTTTAAAGGTTGAATTCAAAAAGCACTCAACAGCTAGCTGGTCTATGATAAAATTTGAACTTGACACATTTAACTATTTGCATTTCGTATTCAATTCGGTAGTGTATTGATTCTGATGTGTACCACGTAATTGTTATAGTCCAACGTACGTGGACTATATATAAAAATAGATAATTTATATCTAAGGAATGTATGTACAAATAGAAAATTTCAAGTATAATTCTATTTACGAAAATAAGATTAAAATGCACCAATACAATCAGTCTTCTTAATGATAGGTACTTTTCTATATTTAGGAATAGTCCAAAAAGTAAATATTTGGATGATATATTTTCATATCATATCCATCAATTTCGTTGATTCGTATTGGACTATATTCAAACTGTGCTCCGAAAGTTTTTCAACTTGCCGAGACGTAATATAATTTTATTGATATTCATATTGTGAGCTCAAACAATTAATTGAATATTAATTAGTGGTCATATTAGATAATATTATAACCTCAATTGCAAATGCGACGTTGAAATTACTGTTATGAAATGTATACTGAGTTTTTTTTTGTATTATCCTTATTTTTAATTCATTCGGGTTATTTTTGATATTATAGATTATAATAAATTAGTTCTACCCTTAGTATTATATCAAGATTGCGTAAATTTAATTGGAATTTTTTAAAAATTCTTCATTTTTATAATAATATATTTGTAATAATATTTCTTTTTAAAGTAAACTTTGTCCAGTGGAGACGTAGCTTCTTTATATGTCCTTGCATAACGTTGCATAATATGCATTTTAATCTCAGAGATACTCGATTTGCATAAAATTTGTTGTGGAATACATTGAAAGTAAACAAAATTTATTTTATATGTTATTTAATATGAACTTTTCTGAGTCTTAATGTCCTAATAACTTTTGTATACTTTTACAAATTACTGGATACAAAACTAGTATATGTGATTGATCTTTTAGTTATTTATATTTATTGCATTATGTATTTTGTTTAACAGTACTTGCACAATAATATATATTTAAACCTTGTTGTTATGTTTAAATTATTAATTCGAAGACCCTTAATTAGAAAAAGGGAAACACTTATAGTACGTTATTTACGTTGTGTTATAAAATGAATTAAATATACGCTTAGATTTTAAACACATAGTTATTTTTAATGTGCACTTGCTATGATTACAATCAAATTGAATAAAGGAAGTATGTCGCGTATATTGTATGAAGCAAACGATTAATAAATTCTGTCTGTTGCATTCAATACGTAATGCATCTGAAAGCATTAATTTCTATAGTAAGAGCCCTCTTTGAACTCATAGTCTCATCTTTGGTCACGACCAGACATCCTCACCGAAGGAACGAGGCATTGAGAGAGGGGCTCGTTTATAAATACTAACGCACGGCCTTACAATAGGCAGTCGTGGCAGCGTACACCTCCGTCTCAAAATGAGGACGCTGGCGATAACGGTGGGTGATGCACTGTGTTGTGATGTGTTGTGCTCTAATCTTAACATTTATTTATTTTTTTCTATAAGTGATCGAAAGTTTCAGTGTTTTTTTTTCTTTTAATTAAAAATACGTCTAATTTTAACTTATTTTTTTTTTTATTGTAGTCGGCTTGTGTTTTCGATTTTTATAGTTTAAATATAAAGTTTTTTTAAATATCAACGGATGTTAAATTGAGATGAATGATAATTGTTTTGTTTACTTCTTTAATGGAATAACAAATAGCACGAGTCATTTACGAAACTTTTTTAGGTAAATGTTTGTTTTTATATATTAATATTTATTATTCTTTTTCAGTTATGTTTTACCTTTGCGGTCGCATTAGCTGTACCCATCAAGGAGAATAGTGAAGTTTCGAGGGATAAAAGGTCTCCGGGCTGGCACTCAGAACCCGAAGGAGTTTGGGAGAAAAAACTTGTCTGGAAAGAGGACTGGAAACAAATCTGGAAAACTGAAAAGAAATTAATATGGAAATCTGAATGGAAAAAAGAAAAAGTGCCGGCATGGAAGACAGAAAAGGTTCAGCAATGGAAAGAAGAACAAGTGCCCGCCTGGAAAGTAGTACAGAAACCCATATGGAAGGAAGTTCAAGTACCGATTTGGAAAGAAGTTCAGGTTCCAGATTGGAAAAAAGTTTCGAAACCAGTATGGAAAGAAATACAAGTACCAGTAACGAAAACGATACAAGTACCAGAGTGGAAACAGAACTTTGTACCTGAATGGGTTAAAGAAGGAGTACCCGGAGAAAAATATCTAGGCAAAGATGAACATGGCTGGGAATACACGAGTCACGATCTTTGGAGGAAAAAGTTAGTGTGGAAACCTGTGTGGAAGAAAATATGGAAACCGGTACAAAAACAAGAATGGGTGACCGATAAAAAATTGGAATGGAAAGATGAATGGAAACAAGTCTGGAGAACCGAAAAGAAACAGGCTTGGGTAACAGAAAAGAAACAAGAATGGGTAGAAGAGAAAGTACAAGTTTGGAAGACAGTCAAAAAAGAAGTATGGGTTCCAGTCCAAAAGAAAATCTGGGTAGAGAAATGGAAGCAAATCCAAGTACCCGTATGGAAGACAATCGAAGTGCCAGCCTGGAAGAAGGTGTGGAAACCTGTATGGCAAAAAGTCTGGGTACCAATCCATCATGAACACCACGAACACCACGAACATCACGGCTGGGATAAATAGGTAGATTTATGATTATAGTTTTGTACATATAGAGATATTTAGTCATTTGTTATTTGATTGTTACCGTGAAAAGTTTTAAGTTTTCTTTTTTTTGTTTGTAAATAATATTAACAGAATCGAAGTCATTTTCTCGATTATGGTTCATTTACCAGCTGTGGATATTTGAGGCGTACGCGAAGGCGAATGCTTTAATAGTTGCGACTGTATAAAGTTAAAGCTAGCGAATGTATTTGGCTTTGCGTGCGCCCCGAGACTAAACTCTTAATATTGTATTGTTTAAAACAATATAAATATTAGGTGTTTATGTTCTTTTAATCTATTTAACTGTACGTGTTATTTTTTATTTTAATAATCCGCCGTGAAAACGTTATAGTCATAATTATTTTGGTTTTGTTGTCGATCAATTTTATGACTAAAACGTAAACTTCTTGTAGAGGCTATTATTTATCGAAGCCAAAAATATATATAAATTGTGAATATTTCTTATATTTAAAACGGAATATCAGTTACAAAAAGTATATTATTTCATAAATCTATAACTTTTAAATGAAAAAAGCTTCAAAATACATACGTTTTAGTATTGTCTATCAAACACAAACAGTGGAATGTACATTTATAATTCACGTATAAGTTACCTTATTTAATAAAGTACAATTTTGTTTTGTTTTTATTTTATGATTTATGTTGCGTGTAATACAAGGTGAAAAATATAATGGGAGTTTAAAATAAATAGTATTTTTATTTATGCCTTTAGCTAGTAGGAACTACTTCGTTGTTATTATTTTGATAGCAATTTTGAATATGATAATATATAATATTAATTTGATGAATACATTAATTGAAATTGTTACATTACATGAAAACCTTAAGATAAAAAAACTAGGAATTAATTTAGGAGAATATATATTTTATTAATTTTTTTTATTACAAGTCATTTAAATTAGTAGTAGTAAAAAATTTTGAAATACAAATATCATTATAACTTAGTGTCGGTAAGAAGTATATATATATATATCTAACGATCTTCTATGGGAGTTTCCTTTCATCATCTTTTGAATCCTGACCGGATTAATCGATCTATTGTAAATAGTATGAACTTATAATTATTTTTGAGGATATATAATCTTTATCTACAAGGCAGCAGTCGCAGACGGGAGCCAGTGAATTAAATCTGAACTCACTCGAGAAACTGAACCATACTGACCATAATACATATAATTGTCAGCTCGACGTATGAATAGAAATCTAAATAGAATATCTCATGTTACAATAACATATTATAACTTTAAACAACTTTCACTTCTTAAATAAAACTCGTACGTAATTAAAGTAAGTTGGAGCTAATGTTGAGTTATGAATTTGTATGGGATTACGTCTTTGTTTTGACAACAACGTCTATCATAATTAAGCGAACAATAAGACTTGCTATTTTTGGATTTCTTTTTTCTTTATCTTTCTTTTGTTTTCATCTTTTGATAATACGATAATGAGCTGTTTTTATTCACGGAATATAGTTAATAAAGTATGTATGATATTTGTATGAGATTTTTGAGTAATATTATTGTTTTAATTGATATTTTGAAGGCGTACTTTTTATATTCTGCTTTTTAAGTAACAGGCGTTGAATTTACGTAATAACAGTTTTTGGTAAGTCTTTGGGAATAATGTTAGAAATTACCGATTAAAATAAGCACAAACTGTAAAAGAAGTGATAAAAAATTATCTGTTTATACTTGGAAAAGTATAAAAATTTATGTCATAGTTATAAATGCTTAATATGACGAGGTAATTTAAATTTGCTTTCCTTTCCTTCTTTCCTCAATATTTGGCAACAAAATTTCAGGATTACAAGTATGTAATAAAATCTATAGAATTGTGTATATACCTTACGATAATCATAGTCAAGGATGTCAATAGTTAGACAAAGAAGCCTTAATTGGATTCCTATAATGCATGTACTGTTTGAGATTAAACGATAACTAAATAATGTATCTGAAGAGAACAATGCATTAATAAAGTACTAATTTGATATACGGAATTTTTGTATTAACTGTAGGTACGTACAAGGCAACTTTAATCTTACATCGAAAACGCAGGAAGCCGTCGCAATTTGCATTGTTTCCGCAAATTAGGTTCAATAAAAAATCGTCTCTTTCTTGTAAATGATTGGGTTTATAGTCGTATAGCTATATAAAGACCTTGGGATTACAATTTTTTTTGAGTTGTATATTTTACAGTCTTCTATACCCCATGGATTTTCGCGCAATGAATGTGAAGTTATGATAATACGAAAGAATACGTAACAGTTGAAGTCAATAAATGATTTATATATTCACAAACATCACTACCATTCAAACAATGGTAAAAATTTTTGTATAGTCATAATGAAAGAGAAGAATTTTATATGTAAAACATTATATAAAAAATAAGATAAACTACTATTCTATTCAAAAGATTATTTAAAATAAAAATCTGTTTGAAAAATACAGTCAGCTTAATTAACGGAGTTAAAATTGTATTATATTATCAATAAAATATAATACATATTTGTTTATTTTTATTATAGTATAGTTGCAAGAGTACTTAATATAATTCTTTTACGCACGACTGAGAACCAAATTATTCGTCGAGGTTGTGTGTATTGTTTTTAAACTTAATACTTTGGAACGTTACTTATATATTTTTTATACTTTATTGTCAGTTTATTCTAAATTTATGAACAAAAAATCCAAGGGGCGTGAGATAAATAATTCTTAGTATTGTATTTCATATCACAAGCGGATAAGGATCTGAACTCAGATCAGGTCAAATTTAAACCAGTTTAAATTGAACTATCATAGGTGTGATGGTTGCGTAACTAAGTAGTTCTATTGAATTTAGTTTACCAACTTCCGTATTCAGCTATAGCTGTACCGTTGAAGCACATATCCTTAACTGAGGCGGTAGAAAGCAATTCATGAGAGATTTGCACTATCATCGTCTCCACTTGTGTTCACGACATTACGTGGGTAAATATTGTGAAACAGACTTAGTGTGGAACGGGAGTTTAAACTTCTCTATTAATTTTAATAGGTCATGAAACTAACACTAGTATTTTCACAGAAACACAGATGTAAGTTCCTGTACCCTCAATCAATAAGGGATAGTGCTTCCTTTAGGCAAATGTAACTAAAGTAATACAACTATTTAAACGTGATCCTTTTCAAAGTTTTAATAACATTTTAAATAAACTACTGCAAATAAATGCTATGTCAATGGGAAAGCAGTTCATGTATTGTACGTTTTATTGACAAAGTTATTGAATATTTATTATAAGTATGTATACACGGGGTTATGGTATATATGAATAGGTATTTATTAAGTATTGAATATGCGACAAATCGACAGAAAGTCGTTGGACATTTATTTTTAAAATATGCTATTTAAATTTAATTTTTGGGTTAACTGTGAGGCATAAAAAGGGTTTATTTGACAAAATGATGGATTGTTTTTTTTATTTAAACTGTAATTTAAAATTGTGGGACAATATTTGTAAATATAATGTATCTAAGTAAAATCCTTAATTCATTATAACGTTTAATTAAGTATTATAATCCCTTGTAAATCTTTTTTTAAATAATTAAAATATATCTGATACATAAAATTTCCGTGTCACAATGTTTGTTACCGTACGAGGAGTACTAAACGATTTTACCGATTTTTACCAAATTTTATATGCGTATTCAGTAGGTCTTAGAATAAGCTACTATCTATTTATCATAACCCTAAGTGATAAGGGTTGTTCAGCCTTACTTTTTTTTTATTTTTAGATGACTTTTTTTGATTTTATTTTTTATAATATGACAACCCTAATTTTTTTAATCACCAACCCCTATTTTTTATATAACAAAACAACGTTTGCCCGGTCAGCTAGTTATAATATAGATGCATATGCTAATAAATAAGTTACGTTAATGCAGCTTAAGAACTTATGTTACATCTGTATGAAAAGTCGTTGTGACATACGTTAGATGAAGATATTAATAACAGTGCAAATAGAAATTGCGTGTGGATTTTCCGTTTTTGTTAAAAATGTCTTCCTAATTATTTCCCGTATGTGAGAAAGAACGTGAGAACAGATTATTATCTTGTATAAAATGGTAGAAGATATTTGAAGAGGTGATTAAAATTTTGCTCATTTTTTATTATTTTCTATTACGAAATTTAGTAGTGCATTTTATACAATATAAGTTGATTTTGTTACAATATAATAAATTTATACGTAAGAGTGAAACTTTATTAGTTAACAGATAAAATACTTTATCCCGATTGTGCTTTCCGACAGCATACAAATGGAATTTAATACGGATCTTAAAAGTCAGAAGCATACTACTGTTTATATCTTAGGAATGACTAATAAAATATATATAATATTGGTAGATTTTTTCAATAAGTGTAGTACATTATCACAAACATATACATATTTGTATATGCAATATATTTATGAAGATTATTTTTAGTAAGTAATTTAACTTTTAAAATCATAAATATTGATTTATGTACTGATCGCCATTTTTGTATTTTTGTTTTATAAAAAACTACATTACGTTCGTAGGTACTTCTGTATTATCAAGTGAAGACTGTATAAACACACAAATTATATTTTATTATTGTTGTCGCTGACTTTTCTTTAACCTAAGGGCAATTTGATTGTACCGAGATACATGATAATGGGCATTTCTATTCAAAGAACATTCACACAGTTTCTCTAACAATTGACAGAGACAAGTTCGATGCAATTATTTTTATTATATGGTTTTTCCGGCGTTCTGTTACGTGATTATTTTCGACAATGAAAACTTGATTGCATACACAAGAATTCTCTAATCTGGGGAAAACGCTCTAATAAGATTGTAATTATTTAGTAAACTATCATGGATGAGAATTGAAATGAACTCATAAAGAGCTATCTTTACGTACGTTACTGTAGAATTATTATAGCATCAGCCTATCAGTGCCCA